AATCGAAATGCCTGAAAGCGCATTCATCGTGATTAGCAACATTAATAGACCGTCATTACATTATATTGTGGTTTGGTGTATCATCATTTCGAAAGCAGACACTCACACTCACACAAACATATTGGAGGCAGAGACAAACAAATATAGTGTAGCCCACGCCAACGTGAATGGTGGCAGCGCCGGCTGAATATCCGAGGCACATCAATTGGAATCATGGAAATTAGTTGTTATTGTACAGCCTGCTGGGGGATATCAATGCGTATAATGCGCAAACAAACACGGGCACGAGCATTATAATCAGTCCAATATTTGACAAAGTCCTTTGTGCCTCATCCGGCGCTTGGCAGCGCAATACAGGTTTTGTATTATTGCCAATTGATGCGGCGCCCAATAGCCGAATGGAAAAAATAAGCGTCCGCCAGTTTTCAAATTGGAGAATGATGATGCGTGGTCTGCCATAAATGCAATATCCATTATTTTTTGTAACAAATTGGGCCTTTTATTATCTTGCATACAAGATAAAAAAAACGTAGAGTTTAATTATGGTGCGCTTTCAAAAACCTTATTTTTTTATATTCATATGTTTTTCCTTTGCGTTGCTAAATGGATAACTCGATAAGATAATTAAGATATTTGTTCAGCGCGGGTTTTTTAAAAGAACCGGGAAGCCATTGATTCCTGTGCGGGGAAGCATCGAACCGAGGAATAATAATTAAATGGATGTATAAAGAGATGCGCGCCGAGCAAATTTGAATCCTGTGGCGGAAAGGAGCAAATCCCTCCCCTTGAAAGGCGCCGCAGGAAACAAGGATAGCTCATCGCCTGCTTCATCAATGCATATGCAGATAGCGAACGGGATATAAACAGTTTGTACAAATATTGCAAACATTCGACTCGCGTGCGCGCGCGGGGGTTGTGCGTCTACACACAGCTTGCCGAAAGCTGGCGAGGGGAGGTTAAGATCAGAAAGCGCACAACTTTGATTCCCATTACTTAATTACACAGAGAAACTGAATTCGGCATGGCGATGTGTAGTGCGGCGTCACCTAAAAGAGCGGGAAATAGCGCAGCAGCTCTCGGGTGAGATCCTTTGATGGTCCCAAAATCAGATGCTGCGCACCGCTTCGACCCCGGGTGTGCTAATGATAACGAGATTAGCTACAATTACACACCGTCTTCTGACTGCACACCGTGCACGACTGTGTCCTCCTCCACCTCCTCTTCTTCACCAGCATCTCAGCGCATGCGGTAGGTGTGTAAGTTGGTAAAACGAGCACGCAAAGATAAATCAGCGCGACGCCATTGACATGCCCCAGTCCATTTATTATTTGAACGTCTTCAATTCGTCATTCTCATTCTCATGTATGCGCAATCCACGCACACGCATTTCAACGCCGGCTTACACTAATTCCGTCAATGTAATGCATATCCCCGTAGTCAAATCCGGCGTTTGTGTTGCACAATTTGAATGAAAACGCAATCAAATCGCGGCCAGCAGGAACGCTGACAAAGCTCCCGGGGGATATTGCGCTTTATTGTACGAAAACAAATCCTGAGAAAGGACGATTATACAACGAATACGCCGCCAGAAAAAAAATAAAATTTTCGTAACATGTTTTTGTGAAAAACTTGCGATAATAATACTTATACTTAGACACATGGACAATTACAGTAATAAATGACAGCTATAAAGTTAAACATTACACGGGTACGCAAAGATCACGTTATGGATGGCGCGCTGCAAGTTCGCGCGATTCCTTGTTTGCATATTAATTACATGATAATTATGCAAACGCATTTCTTTCACCGTTCTAACGCATGCGCGCGCACTTTTGTTGTCCGAGGCTTGGATTTCGATGTGATCGTTTTTGTTATTCGCAAGCTGATACAATAATTCTGCGGGACATTGGAATGCCGCTTACACGAACCGGGAAAACGTAAAAAATCCACACATTACATTAAGATGCCTACAACGTGCGTATGCAAATTATCCGCGTCTAGTATTACCTGGGCACCGATAATGTCTATGGTTTTCCATAGGCGCAAATATTCGATATTTGTACAATCTGTCTGAGACACGTTAACGCGCTTAACGTGACTATTTATTCGAATTAATTTACAAAGATCCTCGCAGATTACTAAATCCACGTATATCGACTGTCGAGACGAAAGATAATACGCAAGAAAAGCCTCGCCAGTAATTATAAATTTACTTTTGAAACAAACAAACCTCTCGACGCGTGTGCGCAAAGTTAAAGCTCTCGCATGCTCGCTGAAAGCGTAACAAACCGTATTTCAGATTCGCGCACGTAACTTTAATGTTTGTCACATACATCATTCAAGAAGTTAGAAGGATGAGTCGCGTGTATATAAACACGTATACATGTATTTACTCTCGCATTGCTTACTTTTGTTTGTGTCAACCGAACCAATCGGAGGCGAATCTTCAACTTAACAATTCTCTATATTTCGCTGCGGTTGCAATTATACATTTGCATGCGCACACGTTAAGCCCTCCTCCCATCGCACGAAGATGTCGCCTCTCTCCACTCTTACGAGAGATAATATAATGAATGATGGAATTGAAAACTCGCTTTGATCAACATTCATCACCACATTCAAGCGCAGCGCACGAAATATCGCATGTTGACATAAAGTAGAAGGACATTAATTGCACTACCATTTATTATCGACCCCTTATAGTTTGTTAACATGCAACAAATGTTCCGAAACTGAAAAGTGCTTTTTATAGGTTTAGGTGGTGCTCATTTTTTTTCTTCGTTAAACTTGTACACGAGGGGAGCTTAAAAAACTTATTTTCGAGGCTCATCACTTAACGCCGGCGAGATTTTAACGGATTACCGTTGCGACGCGTAGACTTTGACGATTTGTTGTATCAGTCATGTGAAGACGAACAAAAAGCTTAGACTTTCCGAAGTTTTTTTATAAAAAAAAGCGCATTGGTAGCCATGAAATTACGAAGGAAAGAATTTTTCACATTAATTACACATAGGAGATGCGAATAATTTGCTGGCGAGTATTTTATCGCCGTTATCATCATAATACGCGTTATAGGTTCCACCACTCGAACCCATTCAGCACGGATTGGCGGACACAAAGCTCGCGCGTACTTTGTGCGTCGAGTTTCGATAGGTAGTCGAGCATGAATATATTATAATTTATGATTCTCTTTAACCTTACTTCTATAAAACTAAAAGCGGCACGGTTTTAATACATCCTCGTAAAAGCCGAGTTTAAAAGATCCGCGCGCACGATGGACATGCAGCCAGGACCGCGCTGCTGCGAGTTTACGACGGCCACGACGAAGAAGAAGAAGAAGACCTGCTCTTAAGGTTTAACTAGAATCATCAAGTATGTAGCCTGGACTGCAGCGTCTCGATGCGAAATAAATATATAAAATTGACCACCATTAATGGAAAACTATACAGTTGATACTTAACAAAACTTATAAACGTTTCAGCGCCGAGAATCCGTGCGCTCGGGTGGAAGGAGCCCTTTTACGCGCGCGCACACATTTGAAACATTCGTCGATTTATTTTTTATGCGCCGAATGCGCCGCCATACCTTTAGATATTTTATCCCCCATTACATTTTAGCCTTTTTAAGTTGATTTGATTTGAGAGAGGAAAGTTTCGAGCGTGTTTCTTCCAGGCATCTGAATTCGCATCACGTTTGCTAATAATTTTATTTATTTTTTTATTATAACTAAGCGTGAAAATATTTCGTTTTTCAATTAATGCAATTTCCTGCGAGTTGCAGGATGACTTTTTGCTTTCCGTTCGTATTTCAGCATTAAAAGTCGTCTCCTGTCTCGCCATTGTGCAGAGTCGCAAACGTGAACGTGTGTTTTGACCAATGGCCATTCGTCGACGAACAGTGCCAGAGCCAATGAGCAACTAAACGCGCGTGGGTGCCGTCACGGATGAGACAATGCGCATCGCCTAATGTGCGATCATTAGAGACCATATTCGACTACTGCGGCGGAAAAGCTCCGCGTGCTTTTGAAACACCCACAACAGCAATGCGCGCGCTTTCATACAAAAGCCACCCTTTTCCTCCACCCATCACAACCCTTGTTTCCTTTTGTTTCTTTGCGGGAGCGCGCGCGTGTTTGTGTTATCGCTCTCTGTGCTCGTTTCGAGTTTTCTGCTTTTTGTCGGCACAGCAACGAAAACAGAACGATGATGCATCGAACAAAACCGCAACCTTTTTCCCTCCCCCTTCTCTATCTATCGACGTATGAAAATTACAAAGCTTTACTGTTACTCCAAGCGCGGAGGTAGAGGAAACCGCCGGAGCCAGACGTAGCAAGCGTATTTGTATCATCACACGAGAGACATGAGAAAAGCACGCATACGTGCCACTGAATGTAGTAACATTTTACAGAAAAGAGAATCAAATGTGTAACTTCAATGGAAATGCGCCGTACGTAATAGGTCTGGGCATATCACAGAGCATCTCGTTCATTATTCATTTTTGTATGTGTTTTGTGCTCTGTTCGCGGCGCAGTGTGTACACGCCGCCGTATGTTTAATTTAACTTGGAAGTTGTATTCACATTCACGTTTTCCCTTTATGTGCGGCGGCGCTCTTGCACAAAACGCCGCCGCACCCGGCACACCAGCCGCGTGATGGTGGTGGCATTGAATTTTTGTAATTCTTCATTCGTTATTTTGGACTCTTGACGTCCCCAACACACAACTGGGCACCCCCCAGCATCAAATCTATTGCGGGTTAGCATTACCGGCATCAAAAGAACAAGTCAACAAGGTGACCTGAATGCAGAAGAACCTAAAGTATGCAAAAGACGCACGCGCCAAAAAGGAACCCTTATCCACAAAAAAAACCGCGTGCTTTGTGTTGATATACAACCCCGATCAAAGTGTACACACACTTTCATATAAATTAGATTACATCATCCGATCACGATATGAGTAAATAGTGAATAATTAACGAAAGCGTTATATGTTGTTTTCTTACCTTGTGTTCGCTCTGCTGCTGCGATTGTAGTTGCTGCTGCGATAAGAGCTGTTCGCGTACCATCTGCAACGAGAGTATCATCTCCGAAAGCCGGCGCTCCTTCTCCGCAATGTTATCTCCGGAGAGCGCCTGGTGCAGAGCGGCCGCCCCCTCATCACTGAGAACAGAGAATCATCATTATTGCTGCATCCATATTCTGCTTCTTTATACATATGTTAGTAGCGCGGCGTGCGCCATGCAGATGCAAGAGATCGAAGCGGAGATAGCAAAAAAGAGTAAGTAATAGAAAACAGAACAAAAGCAGTAGCGGCGGCGGCGGCATGCACTCGCAATTGCAGTATATTACAAATGCTAGCGGGGCAACGCAAAAGTCACAAATATACAAATGCAACCGGGCGGCACCAGGCGACGCATTCAGAAGTTTGTTAGCCGATGTATTATTCAGCGTCGTCGCTCGGACGCTGGTTTCCGTGGCGCGGTGTCACCTCTTCTACTCGCCCTCAATGTGCACGTCCGTGGCGAACGGCACGTACTCATTGGATGTGTAAGGTGCCTGGTCTCTGCGAGAGACTAGCCGCTTCTCTACTACTCCTAGTCGGTAGTTCAATAATGTAATATGCATTGGATATTAAATTACCACAACTACTGGGCTTGCATGCTGGTGTTTACGTGTCCCGCCCGAGTGGGAACTTTGATTTTCCTCTTTTCATCCAGCATCCAGCATGCATTATTCAAATTCCCCTTTTTCCCGCTCTACACCCTTATATAAACCAGCGCTCGGAAATTTATTTATCAATGATTTATATATTACGCAATCGCTTGTTGTAATGAATGAATGTGAAGAATTGGGTTAATCGGTTATGTTGTATAATTTTTCCTGTGCGTGTTGTGTTATCGCCCAAAGAGGGTTAAAAAGTCAAGGCAAATTCGATTACTGTAGTAAAATAAAGTCGATACAGGGCGATGTGAGTGCAGAAAAACGTGCGGATGTTATTTACAATTACGCGCAGTTGTTATCTATCAGCAAAGCCATAACTCTCCCAACACTACACTTATTTGTTATTAAGTTGCAAAACTCTTCAGCATGTGTCACTCACGAGTTGTTCGGCGTCGTAGACGGTGTCGGCCGCTTCTCCTCCTTTATCGTGCTGTTATTCATCTTGGAAGTGAGCCGCTTCAAGACGTCGTCCATCGTACGCTTGATCGGATGCGAGGAACTATTGTTATTGTGTATACTACTATTGTTATTGTTATAATGAATACTAGTCGTCTTGTTTAGGTCGGACGTCGGCGAGCTGCACTCGGACGAGTTCCGCCGCTGCGCACCATTGTTATCTATGTCTTTAGCGAGCAGCGCAAGGTTAATTGTTGCAGTTGTCGCTGTGGCTGCCGCCACCGGTGTATTGTTGGTACTGTTGGCGCAGCCTTCCGCCGCTGAGGTGACGCGTTGTTTCTTCAGCGGCGGACTGCGATCCTCTTCAATACCGTCGTCGCTGCCTGAGAGCGACGCCGATGATGATTCGGATAATTTATATGACTTGAATGTGGCGGGATTGCAGTGATCCTCTTCGCCGAGATCGCTCAGATTGTTGCTGCTGGTCTCGTCGAGATCAGTCAGGCCGCCGCCGTCGCTGCCACCGCCGACAATCGTGGGCGGGAGGGGCGCGAGCTCCTCGGCCACCAGACACCCTGCGCCGGCGCCTTCTTGCAATTTCGTCGGTGGCGATTTTCGTTTCGAAGACATGGTTCTGAAACAATAACAAAATGCCATGTACTCTTTCTCTCCGCGCGACTGCCCTCCTTGTGTTGACGTGCGTGAAGGTGTTAGTTGTAGTTGTGGCAGTAGTTAGGTATTTGTTATTAGATGTCCATCAAAATTCTCATTAAAGATGGTGAGTCGTTTGGCGCGCCTGGGTGTTGCGTGTGTGTGTGTGTTTGTATGTGTGTTATTTAATTAGCCCCAAGGAGTGAAAGCCGCATGCCAATTTCCGTTAACAAATAACATCAAATTGCATTTGCAGTTTGGATTTGACCAGAAATCTCGTTGCGAAATTGCGAGACACACAAATATGTAGTAACGGAATTCGTCTCGGTCAATAAATTGGATGACGAAATGTTTTTTTCTTATTTTTCGACCACAATTCGAGAACAATTATGTCAAGAGGTTAGTTAAATGCAGATAAATTTCTCGCCTTTACGTAACGCGCTGCGCATCCGCACGTTCTTCATATCACATTGTTATGCGTCGTCCTGAATCACATATTGTAATCAAGGGTCACAAATGTTACCAAACAATGCTCCATATATTATACTATATTATATAAATTTTTATCGTCACACAGTCGATAAATATAACCAACAATAGCAGTTAAATAATCATCAGACTAATTTCGTTCCAAACATTATATTCTAGTTAATTATGTATCAATAGTATCAATATATTTTGACAAAAATATATTTTAAGCTACTTAAATGATGTGTAACATAAAAAATAGAAAATTCAGCATTCATTATGTTCGTCTCTTTTATATATTTATAATGTGGAGAAATTGGCTGTTTTATGTGCACGATGTGTATTGATTCGAGGAGAAAGACGTTGAATTTTTTTATGCGCCCAGAATACCTCAGATGTGCGTTGTTGTGTGCTTCCTTTTTCTATTTCTGCGCTGTGCCAATAAAATACGAACGAGCACGAAAACGCTGCAAGACAGGAGAAGAGCGCGCAAAACCGACAAATCTAATTTCTTACAAAAATAAAATATTACGTTCTGTTGCGTTTGCATCTTTTTTTTCCTTTCTTCGTTTGGGATTCTCCGCAGGTAGAAAGCATTTATTTATCAATACTCGTTATACAGTAATGTCAAATGAACGACCTCAGAATTTGATTTCGCAAGCACGCATGAAGGATGATTCCAAGGCCCGCGTTACAATATTTTGGCAATAAAACAAATATTTTGGGGGCGCCACCTTCGAATCCATTTGCCAATGGTGTGAGTACGAGTAGGTGTATGCTGAAGCTGAATATTCATTACATGTCCCCTGAAATTATTTGCTTGGCGCATAAGTCACTGCCGGTCATTATGTCACACAATGCATTGATTGCTTGGTCGAGGGTTGTAGCCATTGAATGAAACAGAATGGTCGAGTGCGTATTCTTTGATAAAAGAATAGAAAACGACATGTGCGATTGAATCTTGTTGAAGTGATGAGGCATAACAATCGTACCGTTATTATCATAATGAATAAGTCAGAAATACTAACGAGAATGAGAATTTGATCAACATTGATGTGTGATTTTTGTTGTTGACATTATGGTGAAATATCTGCACGCGAAAAACTCGCCACAGAGAGACAAACAAAAAACTCAGAATTCCTCAGTTGCTTGCAGCGAAATATTGTTGATTTTCTTATACTCGCGCTCCTAGCTTCTTCGGATGAAAAAACGATCAGTAATTGCAGATGAAAAGAGCGTTTACACCATTAGCTCGTGCGCCTTACGCGGTTATAAACCTCTCGCAGACGTCCACGGCCGGTAAAAGCACGCAGAGGCAACAATTGCAATTAATATCATATAGAAGATATACAAGTACCACATTGTTGTATTGAATGCGTCGCGTTCCATTCTGTAAATTCTCGAGAAGTAACGTGACATGATTAAATCAATGCCCGCATGTGTTAGGCGAACGCTGTGTGTTCTTCAGTATCTTCCGAGCACTCGCGCGCGCACATTGAAGAAATAAAAAGTTTGCATCGTTTATTAATATTGTTTTTAATTTGTGAAACGCAAGAATGTTTTCCAGATAAATTATTTATACGCTGGTATTTTTGAGCGCGCGTGGCATGATGATGGTACGTTATAATTTGAAAAACGACAACGAACAAATTGCGAATTGATGATTGAAAATGAAACGGAACAGGACGCACAAAGCGTAATAGGCGCGCGCGAGTGATCCGAATGGCATTTCTATGATGAGGGAAATTGAATTGTCGTCCCGGTGAATCGGGAATCGGTAAAATGACACAGTCGGCGAGTACGAGTAATGGTAGTTGTTTGAAAAGGGATGGTCCCGTTTGTGTTGACCGAGAATGTGTGTGCGTAAGTGTATGCAAAAAGGCTCGGATTATTGGGGTGGACAGTAGTGTTGTGCTGTTGCGGGACACAAAAGCATTGGAGTCCTCTCTGTAGTGGCCGGCCGCGTCGGGAGAACAGCCTCGCGAATGGATCGCTTTCACAGATTGTGTGTGTGCCGATGCAGGACCTCTCCTCGGCGTCTACTATTGATGACCAACGCCGAATCCACTCAACGCGCAAATGTGTATTCGTTGTGCATTATTCCCCGAACGGGGTTTTGGCGCTGCTTTTTTCCGACCCCTCTTTTAACAAACAACTTTTATTCGCGCGCTGAATTGTTTCATGTAATATTCAATGTGTGTTGGGGAAGAGTGGAGATATTTAAATGACAAATTTGTTGACGTTAAAGAGAGTCGCATTTTCCGGAATGCACAAAGCACTTTGTCAGAGATAACCGAATATGATCGAAATATCGGCGGTGGAATGGATCGTAAACATGGGCAAACAACGATCGTGTGTGTTATTTCAAGGAAGCACACATCCGTCGTGTGGCGGTGAAATATGGGCCCGTCGCATCTCGTTGCCCACTCAAAAGGAACCCACGGAGACAATTCTTTTACAATACTCGTGTAGGGTAGGAAAATAAATAGACTTTGATCATCCGCAAGCAATCGATGCATTGCAAAAGGAAGCGATCGAGGAAACGCGGTTGGATGTCCAAAGTTGTTGAATAAATTCATATCAACTATAAAATAAAGATGATTCTCATTCTCGTAATATCTACTTGTTTGTTTTTGTGCTTTAGAAATTTTAATGCGCCGAGCAACAAATAAGTCGCTGTTCAACAAACACCCATACCCAGTTACGTAAATTTTTGTTGCATGTACACATACATTGAATGCATGCAGTAATAACAAACAAATTTAATTATTTAGTAATGAAATGATCATTTGGCCCAGTTAGCCGCGTATATTTTGACCTTTCGATGAACAAACGCCGACATTTTTAATACGCTTCAAAATTATTTGAAGGCATTGTGCGTTTGGTGTCTGAAAAGGAGTAAAGTCTCCGTTTTGATTGTGATAAAACTGGCATAATAACGACGAAGGTTATTCGTGATTTAGACCATACAAGTGATAACATCACATAGTGATAATGTGTCATTAGAATACAACAGCGGGCAAAGCGCATCATATACTAAACAATCCTTGAAAGTGCTTCGAATTGGTGTTACTGTGGAAATGTTTGCTGAGAGGCAGAAATAAAAACAAAAAAAAGCCCGAAAAATTAATGAGCCTTTTGAAGGTGCTTAAGTATGCGCACAGATGTAAAATGACACCGCGCACATCTGCGAGCGGCTTTGACAATGCCATTTTTATGCTGCGCCCTTATCGGACGCATTAAGAAGATAAAGACAAAGACAACACGTTTGCCAATGAATCGACAACATCTGTTTGCCATTTAGCCCGACTGACAACTTTTGGCCACATCCTGTGCCGTCCGCGGATGAATATAGGTTGAAATTAACTTTTCGGCATTCTCGTATCCAAATTTGTGGCAATATGAAAATGTTTTAAAAATGCACCCTCGCTATGAGGGGAGCGCAGCAATCTGATTTATGTAGTTGGGTCAGTAGTGTGTAACCTAAGACGTGCACGAAACAAAATTTGAAAAATATTCGTCAAAATCCGTCTACCAGACAAACGTTTTAAAACAGAAACACACACACACAACATAGTGCAACAGGAACCAAAACCATTATAGTATGACTGCGTGGTGTTATATTCTCTCACTTGACGAAAACCAGATGCGTACCACTTTGCTTACTGAAACCGTCCACAATAAAGCGAACAAAGATTGGCCTACGAAGCAGAAATAATAGTAGCAGGCTGCGAGGCAGAGAGAAAAAAATAAAAAAGCAAAAGATGAGTCGTCGGCAGGCGCGTTATTAATATTTGACCACTTAGTATAATGCGGTTGTTGGCAACAAAAGAATCACGTCGTTAAAAAAACTTTAATCTTTTAATAGATATTTCAGCATTTCACGCCGCACGCGGCAGGCATATTGTTTTGTGGGGCCCGCGGGCATCGTTGTGAATTTTCATCATTTCTCTCGCGGTGTTGTGTTGTTTTTTTTTGTTTCTATTTTTTGCGCCATGCACACACGCCGGGGCAACGTCGAACAAGTGAACAACATCATAATACACTCGGCTCTCCACGCCTGCGGTGAAACGATGACGCAAAGAGTAGCGCGATATATTAATATGCGACACTATTGTTCTGGCAACGAAATCTATTCCCCATCAAAACGCTCATTTATCAAAGCAATATGTGCGTTACCGCTTCATCAACTAACTAAACACACATGACATATGCCAGTCGGGCAGCTCGACGAGACAATAACGGCGATTGTCTCAACGCTCATGTGTCCCCGGCGAAAATAAACACATCAGAAAAGAAAAAAAAGTAAAACTGCACCAGCGTTGAATCATCACAATTCTCTACATTGTTTAAATTAAAAACAATAAATTGGTTACCAGTTATCAATGGCGGGTAACCAGTAAGAGTAACCACTTCCGAGATCCGCAAAACGCGTTAATATGATTATATAACAGGTGCAAATAATGACAGACGCCTTGTGGTTGTTGTCGATGGTGATATCTAGATATCTTCACACCTACGTGCGTGATAGACGTTGATGGTAGCAACTTACCGCAATTGTGTGATCAACTGGAGGTCAACACATGGCGAAAGAGTCGCCGCCTGAGAGCGAACCTCTTGAAAATGTGCGGTAGCCACTGTGGCGAGTGTCCGTGAAGACTGGAAGGCGTACACTGCAGGACCGGACGACGGTGCGCTTCAAGAGGAGAGGGCGAGGAACTAAACTGAGCGCACCCTTTGCGAGAGAGAGTCCCGATTTACACCTATTGTTTACACGAGTACGATTGGCCGCCGCGCACTGTCACTGCAAGAGCATCAACGATGAACAACGAACAACTCGAATCCGTATCACACTAAACAGTATTGTTGTGTATATTATTTTGATTGATCTCGAAGAGTTTGTTTGTAGGTTGGTGGTTGGCACAGCAGCAGCAACCGAATAGAAGAAAGCAGCGACGAGATGCGACGCGTGTGCGTGTGCTGCGTGCTGCGATGCGTCTGGGCATCTAGCGCAGCGGAGTCTCTCCGCAGGAGCGGATTCCCTCTCCTCCGGCGGCGCGGCACGGGTCGGCCGTGTGCTCTGCGGTGTCGCGCACCGCCTCGGATCCTCCTTTAGCGCCCACGTGGCCGGACCGCCTCCGCCGCCAACTATTATGCTCGCCGAACACTGAAAAGCTGTTTCCGCGGAGCGCGAAAGAACGTTTGCGGATTCGCATTGTTATATTATAAGGCGGAGCGTGTTCTGCTAGACTCCCACGTATCCTCGCGTGCGCGTTTACTGCCGGCGAGCGTATCGCTTCTCTTCCTGCGAAGACAATGAGGACGTTCCGCGTTTATCAAGCCGCTACTACACAACCATTTAGGTTGTTTCTATTTAATCACGTTAAGACCTCGTAAATACACGTTGTTATTAAGCGCGCTGCACTTTATTGTAACTGTACGCTTTGCTAATTAAGACGTTCATTTTTATTAGAGATAATAACTGCTATTAAAAGCAGTTCAAGTCATTTTCATAACATTACGTTTCACCGACGAGATTAATTTCCACTTTAATCTAGTTATAATTAAATAAATTAACAAGTATTGGTAAATTTTGCTCATTTTTAAACTTTCCAATTGAAATAATCACTTTTTTTCAAAAAATAAAAAATAAACAAAAATTATTTCTGCGTCAAAATTTTTTTCTTGCTAATTTTTTGCACTAGGGCTTTAGCTTTAGGCATAACAAATAAACGGTTCTAGTATGCAAACACAGAAGCACTAGGGGGTACATCTGAGTCGTCACGTGTTGTTAAACTCTCATACGTGCGGTGCCACACCGGCAATTACTCCTTCCTCGTAGCGACGTTTAGCATCGGTAAGAAGGTGGGCAGAGGCCGGGCGCGCAAGGCAGAGGAGACAGTCTGGCTTTAGGCGGCACCACACACGAGAAAGAAGGCACCTCAGAGCAATCAATTATAACTCGTATAATATCATACTTATTATCCAATAACGGATGAATTAATTAGGCGCCTAATGGCGCCGAAGGTACTTTCTATCGATTTGCTCAGCAATTAAAAAACGCACTCACTTTAGTTACTGTAATTATCTCGCTTTAGCTACGGTTTAGCTGAAATAATGACGCGATGTGTTATAAGTTGCCGTTACTTCTTGTCGCCGCACTTACTTATCGCAAGGCACGTAGTGAAAGAGTGATTTTCGTGCTTTTTTATTTTCTTCGATTTTTAACTCATCATCGTTTAATTTGGATCATGTGTTTGCGTTCGTGCTCGAACGTTTGACGTGTGTGTTGGGGAAAGGTCTTACTTCTTGCGGTTTCCAGCGTGCGCCTCGCGCTTTTTCTTCGTCTTCGGAGGGCGATCTGTCAGCGAGCCGGTGATTGAGGAAGCGTGCAGGGAGATAACGTGAGAGTGATTATCGGCAGATGGGCATTGCTATCTCGGGTCGCGACGCGAACCGCAGCAGCGCGAGCTTCTCGGCAAGCTCCGCGGCTGGTGATTAATGACTTTGTGCATTAGGCATTGACACGGCGCATTGTCGCTGTATAAACGAACGCGAAACGCGCTGAATGAGAAATGCCCCCGTCGGCCCCCGGTGGTGCGCTCGTTTCGTTCAGTTTTCCTCTTTTTTCCTTGTATGAATTTAAAAAAGACTTAATTGAATGGTAGTATTTTTCGCAACGCCCAAACGTCAATCGAGCCGAAAAACTTTTTGCACCGCAACGAAAATGGCTTTTCTTGCCGTATAATTTACAGAAAACGTGGAAAGTCAAAAAGCACCCCCGTTCTGCAATAAATAAAGAGTTTATTAACTGCGCGCCGAATTATAGTCGCTCGCGCACTTTGCGCGAAACTATAAACAAAATCGAGCGAGGCAGCATGCAAATTTAATGAGGTTTAATGCACCGCCATGTAATTATGTTAGTATTCAGTCTCTTAGGAGCTAACAAGTTATGAAACCGTTCTGCGAGCGTTTGGAGGAGATATCATTTGTTTCCAAGCCGAAACAGTATCAAACAGATCCTCATTATGAACTTGCTTAATGTTCATAAAATATGGAATGCGAGGAAGCGCGAGCGTCACCCCGGGGGTGGCATACGACGACATGACGATGGGGGTGGCGTTAGTGCTCTTTGCGTGCGCGCAGAGGTCGAGTATAATCCCCATGTTGTTATACGAAGATAATGCGGTTAACCCTTTAACTAGGGGGTTGCGCTTACGCCTTTGATATTCAATCCACGGAGGCCACTACAGTGTCGGCGGTAATCACCGGCGCGCACTCGCTCACCTCCGCGCATAACATCTATTAGCGTTTAATCATTTCGGGCATTTTTGAAAGCGCATAAAGACCTAACATAATTCAGGCCCATTAATGCTTAAACACGAGGATGGCATAATGAGGAATCCAAAGAGAGTAAATGTAATGGAACGATGCGGATGGGAAGCTCGCCTCTGTGCGGGTACAGCCGTTCTTTGAACATGAATCTTCCTAATCGCATTGGGAAAAAAGGCGCGCGATGCACGCGGTCGCATTATTTGGAGAATGTCCAAGATCACCGAACCAACAAGTCTATTTGTCTTCGCAATCACCATCAGATGCAATGACCATTCCATTGATGATGGCCCCCGGATGGCAGCGTTTTATTATCCTGACAATATTACGCATTTTTAGTGCATGTGGTCGCGGGTTTCGTGGAGTTAATTAGGGTTCACGATAGTTTGCCACGCGTTTTACGTACAGATCGTTAGGTTCGTCATATGTGTGTGTATGTATCAACAAACGTAAAAAACAACTCTTTCGCGTCTAAATTTAAGCCGGCGCAACTTCCGGCAGGCGACTTGCCAGCAGTGACAATGGAAAGCCCATCTACTATAACCGAGGCAACTACTAAGCAAAATGCAGAGTGTATTTAGGGACGTGTCGCGCGCTTGTTTACGGGAATAAGAAAACGGTGACAGGGGACAAAGGCAAGTTATTACATTGAACCTTAACAAGAAGCAATTAAGTAGTTAGGAACGGGTAGGTAGATTATAATGAAAAGAAAGAAAAAAAAACGAGTTTGTCACAAGTGACTTTGATCTCTTTCTTTAAAGTAACATAAAACCAAATGACGTCCTCGTAACTGTTAGGTGCCTGTATTATTTCGCATTATTATGCAAAAAGAGAACGATGGCGATGAAGAGATGAGCTATCCGGCAGCAAGAGACCAAGGGGCCGAATTGCGTCTCGGCTGCAAGGATGCAAACGTCCGCGAAGGGTTTTATTCGCATTCTTCCCGAGTGGTGGTGTGTGCGCGCCATGTCGTGGCCGAACGCGACGTAACACCTGAGTTCGTTTTATGATGCTATATTCTTATATTTTATTCCCCGCCTTATCGCATTTTATGAACATCCTTTCGAAATGGCACCGAGTTATATTGACAATAAAGGAACAAGAACTTTAGTGTATTTTTGTTCAAATGGACTCGCCGCGTATATAAAATGTATAGAATAATTTATTTCCACCAGCGGACCAAACGCCGTGTTCGCGTTCTTCTCGCGCCGAACGCCCGGGAACGGGATATGTTTGGCTGCATATTTCGCTCGGGCAGCGCGAGGATGACACAAGAGCAAAACGACACTCACACCACAGGTTTAGAATAAGCGCAAACAAAAAATCGAGCAAAACGAAATTATTTATTTGCGTAGAGACAATTTTGTATGCGGTGTGTGCACCCGGGGACGGAGCGCCGAGAAGAGCGACAACGTCCGATTCAAGCAGCCGTTCGGGTAGCGGGAAACGAGCACGGGTCATCTCCGCGGACGACATGAATAGCCCGCGTAGCAGAGGAAGCTAAATCGGTCGCGTGATGTTCATTCATAATCTCGACTTGCGGCGAGTTCTCTCCCGGTGCTGCTGCATTTTGGCTCTCGCCTAGCTGCATCTCAATATACTCTTGACTACGTACCCGGAAGACCGGCCACCTTGCCAAAGTCCATTCACAGATGCACAACTTAGTCAAATGCATATTCTTGTGTGCTCTCCCACTTATTTATAGACACTTCTTACCATTGTGAATGCGCGCACGCGACGAATTAAATGTGCGGTGATCAGGATGATTTCATTTCATTGTACTCGCCGCGTATTTTTACTCACCAACCTCCATTCATCGAAAAAAGCCTACCTATATAGTTGACATCGTTAACGATATGTAATTTTCAAAGACAAATCCTGCACATCCTGAACAAACAGATACACCCCAAGTGGAATACGTGATTTAATCCAACAACTGCACAGGGGGATGGAAAGGTCTTTGTGAATAATTGAAAACATAAATCCCCTTTTTGTCATCGGTTGTCTGAAAATATTTTATTTCCCGAGTGCTCTATACCCTTGCAATTAACAAATTTAATTGTACATTGATAGGTACGAGTTTAATTACGAAAATGTCGTTTGACATTTGCCGACTAATTGATAAATTCATCAACTTATCGGGAATATAAATTGCATGCCTCCCACGTTCATAATAATTCTCGCCTTTATAAATAATCATAACCAAATTAGGGGAGCGCACGTTGCTTTTGTAAATCAGCAAAATCAAAAGGCCGAAAACAAGAGGATTGTTGAATTGTATGATCATAACCCCTTTTCCGTACACAGTAGTTGTACACAGCATGCGGCTGTTGTTCATGCTCATTTCAACGACCGCCGCGCCAGCCCGAATTAAATAATAATAATGAAGAAGGAGGAAGAAAAAAACACAACGTCCGGCTACAACAAAAAGCGACGCTCACACAAACCCGCGCGCGCGCGCGAGTAAATAGAGTGTTGGTTGGTTAGAAAGGAGAAGTCGAGTGGGTTCTCCACAGCCCGACTGGGGTCTGCGCGCGGCTTGAAGTTGCTGCACACTTCACTTTTTTGTTAATAATAATGGCCGCCTCCGCGGTTTCGAGTGTCTTCCTAATCAGAGAAATACAATGCCCTGGTCTGGCGAGCGCATGCACCTACCTAGTGCGCATGCAATGCTTTTCATTTAATTTAGTTCTCGTACTAGAGCTGCTTTTGTATATATCCCTCAGTCATAATCTTCT